TGTGTATATATATATATATATTTTTTTTTTTTCAAAAACAAAAAAAAAAAAAAAAAAGAACAACTTCGACAAATTAGTCATATGAATTATTTTACCATGTTTGTTTGACAGTTTGACAAAAGTTGTTGTATGGAAAAGCACTGGGTAAAAATGTTATATACATTTGAAACAATATTTTGAAACAATAATTTTCATTTTTGGGTGAACAGTCCCTTTAAGATGAAAATGAAAGCTTAACACTGTATGTACTGCAATGTCCTCTATAGTATGACTGTGTCTGAAGGACAGCGAGATGCGGGAGCGGTCAGAATGACCTCAGCAGTAATGTGACACTGAGTGATGCTGTAAAGGAGCTCTTAGAGGCAGCAAGGTCACAGAGTGAGAAATGAGACGCTGTCTGCTGCGCTGATACCACTGGCATAAATAATCCTGCAAACCGCAGCAAGGAATGCAGCCAAACCCTCTAATTTATCATAAAAACATGCAGATCCCTAAGGTCAGTTGGACTTGTTTTTGCTTGTAATATACTGTCTGCTGTGTACTTCTCCAGATCTGGAAGCAAACTGAAATTAGATGGAGCTGGACTGATGAATTAAGAAAACAGAATGAAGAACAAGACAGGCAGGGTTTATGACATGGCGTCTCTCGACTCAATTGCATCATGCTACAAATATAATGCCGTTGCAGACAGAAGCTGTGCATGAACGGTCCTCCAGCAGCCGAATGACATGCTGCAGAAGAACCACACATGCGCAGGGCGTTAATAGACGTGCGTTTTGACTTATTGGTGTGATCAGAAAAGACAAGGGCAACCTGTCAAAGGCTCTGAGAGAGTCTCAGTATCATTGGCATGTCCTGAGAGGTCTGTGGAGGTAAGACAGAAGAGCAGGGAAAGACCAGGGCTTAATATAGTCAAGGAAAGAAAGTCACTTGATACATGTTGTCATGCATTAAAGACCCCCAAGAAATACTTCTAATTCTAGAGAGCATTTTGTTGAACACTATATAAATATGTAAAACACTATATAAATATTTTGTAATTGATTAAATGTCATTTATTTAAAAAATATTGAATTACAGATTGAAAAAATTATTATTGAATTGAACTATTCTTATTATTAGTTTTGTTGGGGAAAGTTTAAAAGTATATTTTGGGCAACTGTAAAGGCCCTTTCACACCAAAAGTGAAATGAATAAGCCTCAGGCTGAAGGAAGTGCCTCTGCACCTCACTCCCTATTTCTCTCAACATTGGGACAGGAGAGGTGTTAGTGAATAAATGGGAAAACAAAATAAATTGTGTTACTTATTTGAAAAGTAACTCAGATATTTTTCGTAAATTGAAAATTAATGCATTACTTTACTAGTTACTTGGAAAAAAAGTAATCTGATTACTTAACTTGCATTACTTGTAATGTGTTACCCCACTGGTTATAATAATAATAATATATAATAATATTAACAACAATAATAGTAAAAATCCCTAAAAAATAGGGTTTCGGTTCTTTGTGCTTGTACCCTAAAAATAAAAATAATAACCAAGAGCTTGTAACACTCCAAAGAGAAAGGAAAAATCGCATCATATGACCCCTTTAAACTTTTGGAAGTACACTAGTATAAAAAATGACATGCAATAAAAGCCACAAATCGTTTTTAGATTAAATGAGGTCTTTAAGATTATCTAAGATTATCTGACATGTGTCAATAGATTTCGTCTTACATCTATGACTGGGGATATGAAATAGGCATCTCTACAAATTGCAAAGACAAACTACTTACTAATATAGAGCATGCTTAAATTTCAACTGCAGCTGGCGACAAATAGGTTTCAAGTCTAAACCTGAGGTTGCATCATTGTGTGAGTAGAATCAATAGATCATTAGCGAGAGTACCTTGCCAGCAGCCGCCGATGGTGAGCTGGGTTTCGATCTTGGAGGCATGCAGAGGGTAATCCTCCGTGACCAGGAAGGGCTCGAAGGTGGCACCATCCACAAACAAAGTCACTGCTGGGAACTCAATGTTCAACACGTAGTGATGCCATTCTTTATCACACACCTGGGAGGAGAGATACTTGATCAGGGCCTCTGTTTAACTACAGACTGCATCAGCTGAAGCATTCAGAAAAACTTAAATGGTGATTTAGATTTCGAGGACAATATGTACCTACCTAAATGTACAGTTAGGTTTGCTTAAAGCAGGTATTTTAATGTTTTTAATGCTAAGGGCCCTCAGTTATGATGATGCTCTAGCAAGAAACCCCCTTCCTAAAATATAACTTAGCAAGCATATATTTTCGTGCATTTTTACTGGGTAAGAAAGGTAGAAAGTGTATTATGGGCCATTTGGAGAGTGAATGTTAAGTATGTTTATGCCCTAATTCAACACATGAGGTGACCTATTCATCACTAGCGAGCTAAACATAACACAAGGGGGTCTTTCAAAATTGAGTGCTTCTGAAGGGGCTCAAGTTGACTCACTTGATCGAGTTTCCAGTGGAATTCAGCTGGTTTGTAGTTCTCCGATTCGGTAGGCTCCTGACGCAGCAGCAGCACAAGACGACAGTTGTGTACATACAGAGAGTAGTGGTGCCTGTTCATCTCTGCAGAAAACACATAGACAGGAATAAAAATCACACTTCTGTCAATGATAATTCATGTAAATATGCTTGTTTATTATATAACAGATGCATGTTACAATTTTGTGAGGTTTCCCACACTTAAATGCGTATAATAGATTTAGTATGCATTGTGCTGCACTGTACACATGTCTCAGTATGCATGGATTTCTCCAGCCGCACTCTCCTAGAAAACAATGAGCAACTTTCCATAAACGGAGGCATAACTGTGACGTAATCAGCCTTACATAAGGCCCAGCTGATGCGCTTTTTGTAGCGCAGGGAATTTTGCTTCAATGACCAGAGAGTGAGATCATCGTGTGAGATTCCCATTTCACAGAACTACCATAAGCAACCCTTTCATAACCTTCAAAAATGTCATGAGACGCTACTCCAGTGAAATTTTTACAGCATATATATATATATATAATTGTTTTTTTTGTTTTGTTTTGTTTCGTTTTCTTTCAAACATGTTTTTTTGTAGTTAATGCATTCAATTCCTTTTAAAAAGAAAGAAAACAAAACAGCAATTTGTAATGACACGTATTTCAGAATATGTGCGTGTGTGTGTGTGTAACACTGGATAAGGGGAACACTGGGGATTTTTTTTTGTTGGAATACCACATATAAAATGGCTAGCAAACAAAACAAAACAAAACAAAAACACAAAACAAATAAAATAAACATTACTGACCCCACAATTTTGAACAGTTGTGTATATTTATGTATATACATTTACATAAAACCAACAAAAAGGTGATTATTTAAGTGATTGTTTTTTGTAATACTACACATAAAATGCCTGATAGATATCATGAGATATCATGAAATTAAAAATATATTAATTAAAAATATAATAAAAAGCTGCAATAAAAGTGCATTACTTATTATCAATTACAGTGTCATACTAAATAAATGTGTTAACAGCGTTAATAACACATTAAATTTATCACATGATGATTTTGACAGCCCTACTGAAGTAAAAAGACAAAGAGGACACAAACATTTAAGCCATCATCACCCTCTCAGACCCGTCAGTGTGTTTTGTGTGTGAATGTCATTATTACCAGTCTTGTCAGAGTTGCAGAGTATGGTCTCCTTCTCCCTGCCTCCAGGTCCGTGTCTCATCCACACTGAGATGGTGAAGGGCTCTTTCAGGGTGGTGCTCACCACACCCTCAGGGACCTTGATGGCCTGGGTGCCGTTGAACTCAAACACCTGGTCGCTGTCGTGCCCGTTGTCAGTGGGCAAGCCGACGGTCCAGTTGGCAGAGTTGCTGGGAGCAGGCAACAGCTCCACAGTGCCAGCGCTGGCACCTGGATGGGCACACAAACAGTTATTCATTACAGTATCCCAAAATATTGGTTGCATTATGGTTCAGCATGTGCCTGTGGGATTATGCAGGTAATACGATTATGTAAATTAGTCTAAAATAGTTTACACTTGAGTTGCTTAATGTAATAAGCACATTTAATGATCTTGATGTTAATGTAACTCTATTATAATAAGGATGTCGGGACTCACCGCACAGCTTGTGCAGGGATTTTTCGGAGTACGTGTCGCGGTCACAGCCCTTGCCGATGTGATTAGTCTCCAGCATGATGCTGGCCTGAATGGAGGTGATTGGCTCCTCGCAGGTCTCCAGGTGCATGCTGGGGAACAGGGCTAGACTGCCTGTACCAGGCTCATATTCAATCCTTTTATTAAATCCTATCAACAGAGAGAAAATTTGTCATTCAAAAAACAAAGAGTATTCTGTAACACACTAACATTAGTTTACATTAAATAACAATGAAAAATACCTGATATGATCTTTTTTGTTTTACATACACTACCATTCAAAAGTTTGGGATTGGTTCGATTTTGAAAGAAAGTATTATTGTGAAATATTGTTATGTAATAACTGAGCTGAATTTTTATTATCATTAGTCTTCAGTGACACACAAGATAACTCAGAAATCATTCTAATTTGTCAATTTGCTGCTCAAGAAACACTGATGATATGAAGAAATGTTGAAATATTGTAGAAACAGTGACACATTTGTATAAATGTCTTTACTTCGATTTTTGATCAATTTAATGTGTCCTTTCTGGTATTCACTTCTTTCAACAAAATAAAATCTTACAGAAAAAAATTTTGGAACAGTAGTTCAAAATGTATAATTAAACGCTGTATAAATTAACATTAGTTAACATAAAACAACCTTTTTTTACATTAACATTTTTTTACTTTTACTCTTTCTTTTTTTTAACACAATACATCACATCCCCAGGACTGTTCATAAACACCATATTAAAAGAAATAGAATTTACAAGTTGATTTTTTAACGTAACACAATATTGTTTTTATTCGTGGGTTATTTCTTAGCAAATAACTTATAAAAATGAGATTAAAATCGATTGACAGCCCTAACATATTAAAATGTATGTTAATATTAGTTCAGACAGTATTTAACTACAATCTTTAGCTATAATGGAGGATTTGTCTTTTAAACTTCTTTGTCCATGTACACAACTTGTTGAAGCACAAAGCTGTATACTTGCATCTGAAATTTCACAAAACTGACCTTCATAGCTGAGCTTTCCAGCTTTAAACAACAAAAGAATACAGCTGTGTTTGTTTGAATGTATGAGAGACAAAAGATCCAGAGGTCTTTGATACCTTGCCAGCTTGGTTTGCAGGTGGGCTTGATGTTGATTTTCACAAGAACGTCCTCAGATGCACGGTTTTTACCGCAGTCATATGCAGTCAGGGTGAGTTTGTACAAGTGTTCCTTGCTGTAGTTCAGCTTCTCGGTGTTCTTGATGTTGCCTGTTCATAAGGAGAACGGACAAGCAATAACCTCACAAGATAGGTAAGCCCAATTGAATACTTAAATTCAGGCCACAACTCAAGGTGACTGTTTGCTGACGTCAATGTTAGGTATGCTACAGATCCGAAAATGACGGCTTGTTTCCACAAATAAATTTTTATAGGCACATGAATAACAATGACCTAGAAGTCAATATCACTCTAAGGGATATAACTTGGGGTTTTGGCAGGAGATCTGAATTGGCAGCACTTACCATCCTTGTCAATGGTAAAGGGCACATCGGGGGTGACAATCTCGTAGCTGCAGATCTGACTGAACTGGAAAGAGCAGTCAGCGTCCACTGCCTCCACCTTCAGGATGCTGTCATACTTTTTGCCCTCGATCACTGTGGCTTTGTAGGACTTCTCTTTGAACACCGGTGAATACTCGTTCACGTCATTCACTTGGATGTGGACGGTAGCCCTGGGCGACATCAAAACGTCATTAATAAACTAGAATCGGGCAAGTGGGAATAAGCACGCCAGCGACGCAAGTCTTGTTTGTTAACAGATGGATGATTCATTTAGGCATGCTCTGATGGGACGCAGTCATTCACAGGACCCTCAAGTGTTCTAATATCTCATTATGTGATATCATAAGAAGGGGATGTTTCAAATGGGGTCTATGGCTTCTGAGTGCCACAAATTTTTAAAAAAGAAAGAAATTAGAGATTAAAAAAAGCATGTCTTAGATGTGCTAGATCTAAAAAAAGACCTTTAATTAATTTTTAAATGTAACAACCAGGGTGAAAGTAAGAATAGAAGTGAATCGGTTTACTAAATTACAAAATTTTTCTGTGCTGAATTTTATTAATATCACGTTGTTAAGTAAGGCAAATCTAATGTAAACCTTAATTTACAGCTGACTTGCCCATAGTGTTTTTAATTATTTATTACACTGAAAACAAAATTTGTGTACAAACAATTTTCACTCAGAAACAGCAAGTAACGCACTGAATTAAATGTGAAATTTTGAAGTAGAAACACTGGAATAGTATTTTCTTGTAAAACATACTTCAACAATCTTTGTTTTATTTTCAATTTTGAAAAATAATTTTTTACAGTGCAGTTACTATGCATAAATAAATCATATACACTAACGTTCAAAAGTTTGGGGTCCATAAGTTGTTGTTTTTTTTATTATGTTTTTAAGAAATTAATAATTTTCTTCCGCAAGGATGCCATGAAGTTGATCAAAAGTGACAATAAAGACATTTATAATGTTGCAAAAGATTTCGATTTCAAATAAATGCTGTTTGTTTGAATTTTCTATTTAAAAAAATTACTATGTTGAAAAACTGTTTTCAACATTAATAATAATAAGAAGAAATGCTTCTTAGGCACCAAACCAGCATATTAGAATGATTTCTGAAGGATCATGTGACACTGAAGACTGGAATAATGTCTTCATAGGAATAAATTACATTTCATAATATATTCAAATAGAAACAGTTATTTTAAATTATAATAATATTTTACAATTTTTACTGTATTTTTGATCAAATAAAGGCAGCCTTGGTGAGCACAAGATACGTTTTTCAAAAACTCTTAAAAATCTCACCAACCCCACACTTTTAAATACATTTTGACACATTGAACAACTAGGATGCTTACGTGTACCATTCTGGCTCAATTCTAGCGCCATTGCAAATATTAATTCCAGTTCTTTTTAAATTATCAATAAAAACTCCCAAACAAGATACGCACTTGTGAGATTTCTTCATGTTGCTGCCATCAGGTCCCTCTCCACAGTCGTAGGCCTGGATGGTGAAGGTGTGCTCCTTTTGCAGCTCACAATCCAGTTTATCCTTGGCCCGGATCACGCCCTCGCCAGTGGACTTATCCAACACCATCGCCTCGAATGGCACGTTCTGCCCGTGAATCCTGAAGCCGCAGATCTCCCCTGCAAACGGCACACGCATGTTTAGTCAAGCCCACCCGTGAGCCAAAGCGCCAGCTTCTGTTCATGAGATAAAAGAAACCCACAACACGCCACACTCAAATAAGAACAGTCAAAGTTGGTTTGGCAGCCAAAGGGATCGAAACACTGAGGGGAGGTGGGAGGTGGGAGGTGAAGGTGTCTGTGGAGGAAGCCAGAAGCACTGTGGGATGGGGGGTGAGTATTTGGGAGGTGGAAGGGAGAGTTAAAAGGGGGATACTGAGTGTCTGGTGCAAGCCATTTGATCACATTGCAACCAGTCATGCAGTAAGAAACCCAGAATGTGGACAGGCATTTCACAGGAATACTTAATATACAAGGACAGGAAGGAAATGATATGAACCAATGAACAGATATCTGTTGTATTTAATAGCATAACATATCTAAAGTAGTACTTGAGGTGTTTAATGCAGATTTTTGGTTAAAAGTAACATTTAAACAAGAAAGCAAGGTTAAAATGTTAAGTTAATCATGGGGCGATGAGAAGGATTTATGACAGAGATCCAGCATCCTTTCAGAAGTTCACAAATCAAAGCAAATATACAAACAAACAAGCAAAAACCCCTCATTTGGAGTTTAAAATCCCCCTTAAAATTAGATTTGGGCGTGAAGGAAGTCTTCCTGTGCAATGTTGTCTCTTTCAAACCTTTAAAAAAACTGAAAGAATGAAACAAAATCGAGGAGCAGAGGCAGTAAACTTAAAGGCTGGATGAGAGCTGGGGTTAGAAATATCCATTTGCTTGACATCCACATCAACCAGCAGTGATTGCCATGCCGCGTATGTAACATTAGTGGAGGAGAGGGTGAAGAGGCTCAAACCACACCACAGACCGGACAGCAGAGAGTTTGCATCATTTAACAATCTCAGCAATGTCGTTTTTGAGCAGGAACTGAACTCTGGAGCATCAGAGTCTCACAGATTTAAGATCGGTTTGGTTGTGTTAAAAGCGAACCCCTAAAAGGGACTTTACAAGGAGGATGTCTCTGAAAACAAACTTTTTAGGCGTTCAGATTGACATTTCCCCCCACGTGCATTATTTCCCTTCATTTGTTCTGTTTTGGAGCTGAAGTACTGTTAGGATCTGCAAACTTCAATGGATGTCTCATGCATAGATATTTCTAGATACTGTTATCCCCGCATCACACTTGTCATCCAGTAGCTGAATTTTCATTTCCAACGAATTCAAAGGTGAGAGGAAACCGAAAACCAAACCAAAAAGAAGAAGAACTGGGAAGAGATTAAAAAGAGCATGACAGGAGTTTCCGTGTGAAGTGCCGATTTCTTTTGTATTTGCGTTAGTGGGTTAATAAAACGGTTACAAGGCAGTAGAAAGAGCCCATCATCACCTTCTTTGGTGAAGGTCACCTCAAAACTCTCTACAAGAAGGGAGAAAAGACAAACCCAGGTCAGTCAGAGAAAGAATGAGATGCACAGAAACACAGACAAGAAAGAGAGGACAGATGTCACAGAAGCAGCCGAGGACTCAAAATACCTCATTTGACTTTTCACACTGTTCAGATTAGGGTTGGGCGATATATATTGAATATTTATGATCACTTTGCAACGATATAAAATTAAACAACACTGTGAATATATAAATGTGCTTTTAACTTGGCCATTAAAGTTCTTGAAGAGCATGTCACGACCTCTTTATGAGAGCATAGGGACAGACTGAATAGGGTCTCTGACTTAAAAAAAAAAAAATGGCATTAAATGTTGGTATTCATTTCCATGAATCGGTTAGAACTGTCCATTTTAGTGAATTGATTCAAAACTCAGATTCATCCGTGTCATCACTAAAACATGTTCACCATTATATTTTTCATATATTAAAATGTTTTAAAGAGATACGTAGGTAAATACTCTTGATTATTTCTTTTACTATTATTTCTAACCAAATAAATGAACATGTTTAATCCAAGAGGTATAAAATACAGACACAGCTAATTAAATATTTAAAAAAATAATAAATAATTAATTTTAACAATATTTTAAAATAAAATAAATCACAATATTTTAAAATAAAATAAATGACAGATTTCAGAGCAAATGCATATATATTGAAAATCAATATTTTTTACTATAGCTACATAGTAGCAATAGTAAAAACCCTATAGCCCAACCCTATAGTTACTGTACAGCCCTAGTACAGATCGCTTTTATCTTCCTTGTACTTCAAGGACAATATCTCACAGACACTATCATTTGTAGCAATCTGCATCATGCTAATTCTGAGCGTATTCTGAGCCCTAATATGACTGTACAGCACAAAACAATATACTTTGATGAGTCCACATTAACAGTCACAGAAACACAAAAAACAGCCTTGAGCACAGCCTTGAGCACAGGAGGAAATTGCTATAGAGTTCCTGTTAAGGTTAAAACAATAAATGGTGCAACCAAATGAAAGAATAAGGGTTAGCCAAAAATGTTTTTATAGTAGTATCAGCACTAAAATTAGCCAACTTTATAAAAAAAAAAAAGTCGTTTTTTTTTTTCTGCTTGGCTGACCACTAAAGGGTTCTGTTTGACCCTATCGGTGGCCTCTGCTGGTGGACCTGTCCACCCCGTTTTTACCCCTACAATTAGAGATGGATTTTCCATTAGGATCTGCTGTTCAGAGCAAGTCATGCGATGGAAGCTTTGTGCCTCATCAGTGCATTCTGGAGCTTTAATGACTGTACATCCCCACACTTCCCCTAAAACCCAGACTGACGCTTCAGCCTGCATGCCAAGTGCCAACTCCAATAGTCCTCCATTTCCCATCAGGCAAAACACAATGAATATTGATTCATTCCCTCAGACTGCTATATTGCACAGTGGAATCGATGAAGATGTAACAATAGCTGAGAAGTGAGGGGGGAAAAAATAGTGGAGGGACTTTATTGTTTATTTGACTTCTGCTTCATTACTGCCTAAGGATTGAAGTTTTAGAGGTCTGAAGTTTAAAATTTAAGGACTTGCTCACAACGAGTCAGAGGAAATATTGAAATTGACAGCGAGCTGGCACTGAATAGTAAGCCTGTCACGATAATAACTTTTTGTTGTGCGATATATTGCCCCAGAAATAATTGCGATAAGCGATATTATTGTCATTTTAAAGACCATTTTATGCCACTGAATATATAATCATAATGTAACAGCATAATAATGGAAGAAGGCCTAGTACACACTTCCAAATGACAACAAACTTTTAATTTTAAGAATATTTAG